CTTATGTCCAACCAAATTTCACTATTCAATGCTTCTCTTAACTTGAAAATGAATGTTGCTACATTCGAAACGTCGTTAATATATTATTATTTGCTAAATCTGCCTTTTGATCTACCAACGTCATCTAAGAATTGTTCAACTCCTTGAAAATTCAAATGCACTCTCTGGTCATAAATTGTACGCATATAATCAAGAAATTTCTGCCATCTTATTATAATTTCTTATATATGAAGGGTACTGTTGTAAGATAATGAGAGTTACCTTCAAACATGATGTGGTTATTCCGGTAAAAGCGCATCATCTTGGTTGACAAATTGAGGTTGCGTTTTGCAATGCTAAATGTAAATGGAATTTTAGAATTATAATTATTTCTTGAGATAGTACAAGGAAATGTTTACCTGCAGCTTTCTTAAAGTATTCGTTCATTAACTTGGTATTTATTGTACTAAATATTGTGGTTCATAATCCTTTACACTGCCAACATGATGAAAATGATGTTCCCATGATGAATCCCTTACACTGTCAACATGATAATCCCTTACACTGCCAACATGATGAAAATGATGTTCCCATGATAATCCCTTACACTGTCAACATGATGAAAACTTACACTGTTATCATTCACTTTAATCCAACATAATCTCCGTATATTCGGCCGTAATCCCTCCCTAATTCTCCGTAATCCCTCAAATCCCCGCGGGTTACCTGATAGTCGTAGACGTAGAAGCATCCATCGGGCAGCACGGCGATGCTGATGGTGGTGTCAGCGCTGATGTTGGTGAGGGTGAGGTTGAAGTGCCCCGTCGTGGTCCACCACAACCCTGGTATCTCGTATACGCCCTCCACAAGCAGCATGGGCAGGCTTAACTTCACGCTGCCCTGACCCAGAAATATAGAGTGAAAAACTAGCGCTAACAATATGCAATGTAAGTTAACATCATCTGCAAGTGTACTGCTTCCTTACAGCAGCGCAAAATAAGTACATAGTAATATTGCAGGTACACACATGCATTCGACTACTGAATTTACGATTGGTGAAAGTATACTCTATAACAGCTCGTTTTAACAGATATTTTCTAATATATAACTCCCATTTACCTAATAAGTCCTTTATAAACGTTTAAATATAATAAATTACTATATATATCTAACTTATTACAGAATAAAATGAAACATATGTAAAATTATATTGAATATTGCAAACAACTGTATTGTAACAGGGCTTATTTACCACCCAACTTTTCGGCCATATCTGCTACATAACTCCCATATATTTTGCTCCATCACAGCACACTGAATAACTCTTATTTACACCCCTAGCTACCTCCCTCCCCTACATTACCCCCATGGGGGTGAACTGACCGTGAAGTTGTGGGCGAGGACGTGGAGGTCATGGAGGACGAGGTCATTGAGTCCACGGGCGCGGGTGTCCAGCAGGGTTACCGGCCCCACTTGGAGGGGAGTCATCAGCGGCATCCAGGGGGGAAGGTCCAGGCCTCAAGCGGGGAATTGAAAGATGATAAAGTGAATAAAATAGAGTTTGAAGAAGGTAAAAAATAAAATATTGCAGTGACGAAGATATTTTAGGTAATTATGGGTAGAATATATCACACTATTTGTTACTCTTACACCGTCCAAATGCCGCTACGTACGTAATAAACGGGTTCTCACCCGCCACCCACATGCCAGCACCCGCCACCCACCTGCCAGCACCCGCCACCCACCTGCCAGCACCCGCCACCCACCTGAGCGTCCTGCTGGAAGTGCAACAAGAGCAGCACCCGCCACCCACCTGGCAGGCCCCTGGGAGCGTCCTGCTGGAAGTGCAACAAGAGCTTCTCCGCCGCTCTGCCCTCCTGGCAGTCTGCCTCTGCTGTCACTCCTGTAGTGATGGTAACTGTGAGCGTTCTCTGAGAGCAGCAAATGCTCACTGAGCGCAGCACGTGCTCATTGAGCGCAGCACGTGCTCACTGAGCGCAGCACATGCTCAAACAAGGCTTACGATGGTCGTAAAGTCGTAACTCATTGCAGTTCTTTATTTCAGTGGCCAATCATACATATATAAAATTGCACAAACTCACGATCTTCATTGAACTTAATGTCGCCGTATCAATTTATTAGATATAAAATGTACAAAAGAAAGGCAAAATCTTACACTTTAATATTGAGCGCAACTCTTACGCAGATATGGTAAATTCAATTAAGTTACATTACCATCGCTCGGTCATGTTATAGGTCGAAATGATTTTCTTTTGTACAATATCGCAGCCATTATTGTTCAAGATGAAATAGTACGCAATATTAAAACCTTTTAATAGTTAATTAAAAGGTTTTTGTCAGTTTACCGGAATTTGCGGTTTCACGGTTGGCTATCGTAAAAGGCTGTGGTCATTCCTATTTACCGCCATACGGTTACAATTGTTTAAACAGTTTCTGTTAGCACTATTTTCGACGTCTTAGTTTGTATTATTTATAATTTCAGAGTTAGCATTATGAGCAGTGCGGCAGTTTATGATAGTCTCAATATCACAGTTTATATTATTTACGATGTCACAGCTAGTAAACATTATTCGTAAGGAGGCAGTCAACGCTGTTGACTATGTTGCTGCTATTTTTAATTTTCTGAATTATATGCTTCAATAATTCAGATTTACTCACTTGCAGCAATCAGGGATATCACCGCAAACGTGGTCCAGTGGTGTGATCCCATGGTGACTTCCTGACTTTCGATTGTTAATTTTAGAAGTTTGAGAAATGTTTATTTCACACAAGAAAGTTGGATTGAATTGATATATTTTACTGTTGATCAGCGGAGAATGTTTCACATATACCTGGTGAGTTTCATCATATTCATATAAAAAGTATAAAATTAAAGGCACACGAGTAGTTTTGAATAAAAAATTACCAGTCTAAGTCTGGCCTAGAATATATATATATCCATATTTCTTTGGCACTCTCCTCTCCCAATGCACCATATAAGGCGGCTGAGGGTCTCTTAAATGAAGGAATACCACCACAACCGAGCTTATTTTATCCAGCCCTAGCTAGTAAAATTTACCGCTAATGTCGTTACCGTGGCTGTTGGTCCCGGACGGAAGAACTGATTTGGAGTAACATCCAGTCCTAAATTTAGCTGTGGCAGAAAGTCTTGCATACGAATACAGGAGGCGATAATAAAATAAATATCATAGACTATAATATAATAGTATAAGATTTTTTTGCAACGATATAGTAAAGGTTCAAATGTAAATAATATTTTTTTTAAATGTCATAACTCATAAGTAATTCCATGAATAGTTCAGCTTCAAGTAAAATAAGTAAGAGAGATACCTCACCGGACACAGAATATTTAACATCTTGAATTCCTCAACATTATTAACACCAAACCAGGAATTGCTTGCGAATTGCACATAAAAGACAAGTTCCAAACTAGGCCGTCTAGTACCGCATAATGTATCGTACGTACTATATCGCATAATATATATAACGTAGAAGTGATGATCAAAATATCTGCGTACGTTGACACTACTAACAGGCGATGAACTTTTCAATTCAATCTCACAAAACACGCATGAAATGTTGACTTCAAAACTGCGCACAAAGCAAACCCAGTCGTGAGAGGAACTCCCATGCACTGACGCCTCGAAACTTTGAACACCTCGCGGGGAATGACGTTGAGGAGGCAGCTACCTTGGGCACCAAACAACCGTCCTCTGTTTGACTCTTCATGTTTGAGTCTTTGTTTGATTCCGTGATTATTCCTTGTAACTTGTGCTTGTGCTTCTCACGAAGCCGCACCTAAACTTTTTCCTGAGTATAATTTCGTGTTTGCAGATATCATAGCAAGCAGATATTAGTCTTTAGAGCAATTAAATTACACTACCGATTTAGTGAGTCAAAATAAACTAAACTCGTAGACTCGAATAACTCGTACATTAATTATCAGGTTTGCGTGACCTGAGCACCGTTTCAGGGTTTCGTGGTCTAATTCCATTTATTTATAATCCTATTAGTTGGCCGCAGGAGCGTGTGGCCAGAAAGGCACCACGGACAACCGTGAAATCAAGGTAAAAAATTGTTATTCACTGATGCGACGAGAAATTTGTATAAATTAGTGCATTGCGCAATTGGATTTTTGTTGTGAATTTATTTTTATTGAATACATCATGCGGTTGGATTATATGAAATTAATTTTTTCAGTGCATCATGCGATAGGATTCTTTGGAAAATATTTTGATTAAGAGCATCAAGCGATGGGATTCACGGGATTGGCGAATCCCATCAAACTATAGGATTCAAACTGTGACTCATCGGTGCCGCTACGATTCCACTTACGAATTCCACTACGATTCTACAAGTGATGACTACAACTTCGCTACATTTCTGTACGGCCAACATCAACGCCACAGTCGCGTCGGCCGTGATTCAATTTCGAGACAACACGAGACTACTACTCCGTGGAACCGCTCCTACTCCAGTACTACTCCGCGGGACCGCTTCCACGGGACCGCTCCTATTCCAGTACTACTCCATGGGGCCGCTTCTACTCCAGTGCTACACCACGGGACCGCTCCATGGATCAACGTTTCCCTATTCGAACAGCGATTAGAGACTTGTTATTTTGAAGTCTTTTATTCAAATCTCTGCTTAACAGTTTAGAGTGATGTTTCCATAGTGATTAAAAGTGTTTAGAATGTATTTTAATATCTTTCCCAACAGTGATTTTGTAACTTTGGATGTGCACTTGATTATCGTTACTCAAATTCAAATGTAAAAGTACAATTCCCCTCATTTACTACATTTGCTTGCATAAATTCCTATAGAGCCTCTTAACGCAAACGCGCCTAATTCACCGTCTCAGGACAGATATACGCTACCATTATTAACGTATTTTCAATGCAGTAGGAGTGAGAAGAAATTTTCGAATTTAAAATGCAATAAAAATAAAATAAACGTATAAATATAACCGACATCATACAGATGGGCCTCATGAAAAATTATCTTTATTATTAAGTGCATCATAGGATAGGATTTATGGGAAATTATTACACAGAGCCTCAGGCAACGCGATTGGTATCGGAAAGTATTATCTGGTGCCTCATCAAAAATTGAAAAGCAAAGAAATTGTCTCATAAATTCGTCTTATCTTCATAGAAAACGTTTCGAACACTTGCTCAATCATCGGTTAAAATTTTTTAGAAAATATTATCATACAATCCATAGAGACAAGATAAATTTACACGTAGTTATTCAAGCCAAAATAAGGAGAAAGAAACGAGCCAGAAACATAAAACCTTATTATTGACAATTTCAAGTGGGTATGAACTGTACCGACGCAGGGACTCTTAAATCGTAAAATCATTAGCACCAGAGGTAAAACCTAGCATCTTGAGATCGCTCTTTGACACAGTTCAGCGTTACGGCGCATAACAGAGTGAGGCGGATTAACAAGGAGCAATTCCGAACGATAATTCCTGCAGCTGTGATCAGCAACCTGGACGTAGAATTTATATGCAAACGTCAATCCGTCGCTGATGCGCACCGCACACTAATGTATCCATTAGCCAAGGAAGACCGTAACTGAGGATGAATAACGTACAAAAACTTGAAGATGGAACCAATTAAGAAGTTATTCACCCGTAATACATGCGAGTTATGCATGATCATTACGAATCACATCTTGCTCATCCGTCTCATTTTGCTGTGCGCCTCTACATTGAACTGCGTGACGTGACTGTGTCTCAGAGAGACTTCAAGGCCCTTGGTTGTACCTCTGATGCTTCAGATTTAAGTATTTTATAAAACCTGCATATATAGACGAAAATTTTGTCTACATAATGCAAACGGTTCATATCCACCTGAAGTTGTCAATCGGTAATTTCTTTATGTTCCTTATTTCGTTTTTGTTTCCATAGGTTTTAATCGTCTTCGTGACAGAACAATTGCATGGTTAACTTCAGTGCGACACCTGCAGTGCTCGGTCTGGTGCTTTAGTCCACACAGTGGCTTAATTGTACACGTCTCGACTTAATTGTGTTGAATAGTTAAAACCGTTGTTAGTTTTAATCTGAATATTTGCATATTTGTGCAAAATGTGTCACGCGACTGCAATCTAATTTATATATCAAATAGGATTTTTCTAAATCCCGTCATACATGTTATGCATACAGCATAGCATCCTCGTTGATAAGTCCATTTTTGGCTGTGTCTATTATAAAACCAACCTTTACTATGGAGAAAGAAGACATTCTGAGCCGCAGCTGAACATAGCAGAAATTTTCGTCAACCTCCCATCATGAAGATTCGTCGACTAGTATTAGCTGCGAGTATTCGCTGGTAGTTTTCGCATTTCATAAAATGTGATGACTTATTTTTCAGATGTAGGTTATTCTGATGCAGGATGCATTAGCATCCTGCATCAGAATCTTGCAGGTGATGCAGGATGCATTAGCACCTGCTGATGCAAGTAGATGATGCAAATACGGAAAAACGATCGGCATTTCTGAAGCTAGCCGATTTTTAAATTTGCATCGACCAAGAGCCGTATTCGTATAGCCATATAACTAGCAAACGAGGGCAAAATAGACAAAATTGCCACGAGCTAAATATCACCGTTGGGAGTTTAGGTAGGTACATGAATACGAAGTTTCGTTCAAATCTGTTCACTTTTTCAGAAGAAATTTCTTGACCGCCGCAAATTTAAACAGGTATTGCTATTTAAATCACGAATGAAGGTGAAATGAAAAAAAAAACGCAAGCAAAGGCAAAATCGAATTTTTTTCCATAAATTAAACGTCATCGTTTGGTAGTTAGAAACTTAGAATGTTGTATATTCAACATTTCGTTTAAATTTTTTCAGTAGTTTGGAAGAAATTAATTTATCGTCAACATAATTGGAATATAGTTTTTGCTATCCAAATGAAGTAAAATGAAATATGTAAATCGTGATATGAGGGATTTTACACTTTAGTCTTGAAATCAAACTTGTGGAAGAATAACAAAGTGAATATTTTATAGATGTTTTGGCAGTTCATTTGTTTTGAAGATTCACGGCATCGATTGGATAACAGGATACAAAATGGCGTCAACCATGGTTGACTTTTCAAGCGACTTTCGAATTAATAATTGTCGCCAAAAAACAATTAAGTCAATTATCATATATAAATGTGATAGACAAGCTTCAATCTGTTATTTATACGTGAAAATTGTCATCTATGGGTAGTTAATGGTTTATCTTTCCTTCTATTAATTGCTTTTAGCGGTGGCGTGGTTGTTGAAGAGACTTGTGCGTTTGAAATTAGCACTTACTCAGCAAGTTAGCACTTAGCAGTGCAGCCAGTTAAAATACGATTATCAGAAATTCGTTAGTTTCTTGTTTGTCAGCTCTTAAAATACTCTGTTTTTCTGCTGTTTTGGCTTTATATACAATATTGAATGCTAATATGTGAAAAAAGTTAATATCGCAAATTATGGTTTAGGCTACGCCGCTACGGTATTGGTATATCAGCAATCAGCATCACTGCATCAAATGTCTATATTGTCTATAATTATTATCACTCCCAGCCCCTGGTCCCTCCCAGATCCCATACTTCATTCCATCCCATTATTCCCATATCATGCAAGTTGCAACCACTTCATTTCATCCCCTATCATGTAAAATATAAATTTTGTGGTCAAGACACTTAGTCTCTTACTACAGGTGGGTGGGGGAAATAGGTGTGACCGTGAGTGTCTGTGAGTGACTGTGACTAAAACTGAAAGATATGAATGGTATTATTGGTATAAATTTGCCAAAAGCAGAATTGAACAGAATAAATTACAGTTTCATGGTTTCTGCACCATAAGACAGTAAGACTTATAAATAAATTATAAATAAATGATGAATAAATGATAAATTAATAATAATAAATTCATAATAAAAAGAACAGATTTTAAAAAATTGCTGGTTTAACACTTGGCTGGACTGGATTCACTGGAACACTAGAAATCTGGAATGACTAGCCTACATGATCTGTAATCTTTTTTGCATCAATTTCAAACTTGATGTGAATGAACTATGAACCACCACCATGACCATTCCAACGATTCTAGGGTACAATATAGGTACACTGATGGCCATAGTGACAAACCACTGATTTTTTAGAATCAGGTAATTTTTAATTTCTTCATTTACTCGCGATTTAAACCAATTTCATATGTATGATAATGCAGGTAGCCTATCCAGAATACTTTACTGGTATACCTATATATAGGAGTAGGACTCAAAAATGAACTTGAGGGAGATTCTAAAAAACTCTTTGCTTTGCCACTATGTATTAGACAATAAGCACTCCTTCAAGTCTTCAACTTCTTCAAGAAGCATGTCACTCAGACCTCAGTGCACAGCAAAGGCAATGAAAGTCATCTGCATCATTTGCAAAACTTAGAACTATTGATCACCTAACCAAAAAGATATTTGTTCAACTGTGTAAGAGCTTTGTATGCCCACTTCTTGACATCTTGAGTACGGGCACTGTGTGTGGCAAGTCACTGGCAACCAGCACAGTGAGCACACAAGACTCTGTAGTGATATAGAAGACATCCAGACCCAGAGAAAAGCAACAAAACTCTTGGCATCATTAAAGGACAAACCCTACTCAGATAGGCTTAAGATGCTGAAGTTACCATGCTTGGAACACTGCTGGCTCAGGGGTGATATGATTGAGGTTTATAAATTCCTGCATGGAGCCTACTATGACATCCCAGTGGGCCAGTCCCATGCCCTATTTTTGTGATGGCTACATGCTACAGCAAGAGACCTCCAAGAAAATTCTTTAAAACTCCAAAAAAAGCCACTTCAGAGTTCAGTCTGAACATTAGAAGTAACTTTTTCTCTCAACATATTATCACAAACTGGAACAGCTTGCCAGAGAATGTTGTCTAAGCACTTTCTGTGGATACTTTCAAGAGTCGCCTTGATAAACATTGGCTTCATTTGCCTACTCTTTATGCTCCATCATGCCAGAAATAGACACTAACTTTTTTTTTTGCAACCCAGCCACCCCCGCCTTTTGCTAATAGTACAAAAGTTAGTATAGTCTCGGAGAGATGAACAGGCCTCTGAGAAAGGCCTCAAGCGTCTAACTTGTCTAGTCAAGTCAAGTCAAGTGTTGTGTCAGCACTCAGCAGATGATAGGAAAAAGGATTTCATGATCCTTTTGCCTCTAGGTCCTAAGAGTAAGACTAAGAGGAGGCTGAGCTCTCTCCAATCTTGTTAAAGTATTTATTAGAGGCATTTGAGGTGTCATTTGATTACAAAGCTGATGTATACTGATCTGGGAATGCAATTGTAGCAATTTGTTGTGCTTGTAAACAAACCCTGCCTGAATATTATCTAATTTCATCACTGTTACAATGAGTGTCCTATCTTATCACTTATGATCCATGATGTCACTCGACTTTTCCTGCCAACTTCTGAGCTATGTATCCTCAGCGCCACCAATGCAGTAAGGAGTCTTGGCTTAGAAGAAATCAGCAGTTGTGTGGTGGGTTTCATGGAAAAGTAGTGGGTTGGAACTTGGGATTTTGGACTTTACAACTTTTCCCCCTCCCTGTCACCCTCTCCCCCAACTCCAGAATGTCACTATGCTCATGCATACACTCTGTATGAGTGTAGAATTTTAATCTGAAAACATTGAAAAAGCAAACGGTGAAATTACTTTATACATGAGATTGTTATTTGGTGTCCTGCCAATATTCAACAGTTCAACGTGTGTCGGGCAGATTTATGATTAAAGCGAAAAGCACACAACACATGAATTTTGGAAATTTGATGGTGAACGTACAGCCTGACCCACGTTTTTTTGGGGCGAGCCATAATTTATTTTCTACTTTTTAGTCCACAAGAAAAACGTGTTTTTTAAAATTTTTTTAAAGTATTTTATTTTCTCCTTTTAGTCTGTTGCTATACATGAAAAACGTTGTTGCGAGCCAATTTACTTGACTTGGCGTACGTATTGATGACATGCAGCGTCAGCGCCTGCTCGTCTATAACGTCAGCGCCCGCACGTCATACAATGTATATATTATATATATGTATATACTTTACTCAATTAAGCTAATTTAGGTCTCTAATGGCTAGTTTTTATGATTGTATCTGAAATTGTTAGGCGAAAATAGCCTGCGTGCCGAATTTCAGATCTCTAGAGCAATGAGAAGTGGGCTAATTTTTGTTGGCAATGTTAACAACAAACAAACAAACGCAAAGCTGCTTAAAGAAAAACGTGTTAACAAACAGTGAAATTACTTTATACATGAGATTGTTATTTGGTGTCTTGCCAATATTCAACAGTTCAACATTGTTGGTACATAAAAAGCAGCAAAAAGTTGAAAAAGTCTTCTAAAAATGAAAGCTTGCCAGTGGCCTGCTTGAGGGTACATCTGAAACTTAGGTGGATTGTATGGATGGTAGGGTTGTAAGAGTTGAAAGGGATGATGGCAGACCATTGTCTAAGTCATCATTTTTGGGGTTCAGGGCGGTAGCCAAAGCATAGGAAGTTTGAGTGATGGGGCCTAAATTAGTGAGTAGGGTATTGGCAGCGGGATAAGGTGTTGAGGCATTGGAGGGGCTGAGGGCCAGGGTAGGGTAAGGCTGGTGGCAGAGGTAGGCATTGGGCCAGACACAAAAGAAAAGCATCCAGAATTACCCCTGGGAACTGGGTAATATGGGACACTTGATATAAAACTTGATTTTAAAATGTTTTTTGAAGCATGCAAAGTGTACTCATCCTTCATCCATTACTAACAGTACTCTGAAGTCCTCCTCTTCATTTATAGATGATGTAGATGCAGAATAAATAATGTTTTCTATGATTTGTATTTGTTGTCCCTCAATGAATGATATCATAGTATACAATTTTCATTACTTTCCATTCTATGTTGCCCAGTGCACAATTCTATATATGACATTCTGTGCACAATTTTGTGAAAACCAATGATGCATTAATTTTTCACTGAGTGAAATTTTTTGGCTGAGATAGGTAAATTTAATCAAAATTCTTTGTTGTTTACCAATTTTTTGTTAACCATGGCCTCTGCTAACCAAGGTTTTACTGTAAATGTGCTTTTAGTGGTGCCCCTTATTACCTTGTCTTGCAGAAATGGCAGCCATTTTGTTTTTGATTGAGGTGCGCAAATTCTGCCAATAAAGTTTTAAAGCCAACACCTGTCTGCAATTTTATTTTTTTGAGTGAAATTTTTTAATATGGTATATATATTTTTACTACAGACCTTAGCAGAAATACTTTTTCAAAATATCACCTTATAACATTTTTTAAGGGATAGTAAATGTAAAATTTCTTAACTTCCTGTATACTGCATAGATAGGAAAAATATTGAAGTTTACCTATGCCACTGTTCATAGTTTTGCAATGATTCAATTAGTTTTGCTGCTATAACATTTTTACACCTTATTACCCCATTTGATTGTAATTCATGAAATCTAAGAATTATCCCAAAACCCATCTTCCCAGTTGCTCAGTTCCTTCATCCTGAATCTTGTCACACCAAATGTAAGCTTGAAAGATCTCATCATCCCAAATGCTGTTGTCAAGAATCCTATTATACAAAATTACATAGTCCCATCATATCCCCCCCCCTCCTTATCACCCTGAATAAAGCTAATAATTATAACATTGCAACTTACACCTAATCTATTTAAATATCTATATAATTTATTGCATTTTAAAACCCCCTCACTGTTATACAATGCCTCAAAATTCCACCACTAATTATGGACAGAACCTCACCAGTAATGTGGATCCCAGTAATATCCTGACAGAATTTGGTTTATATTGAAGGTTCATCAAATCACAATCGTATGTTAAATTCATGTTCAACATCTCTTCCAGAGAATAACAATCATCCTGATTTTGGTAATGAGAGTACAGATGTAGTGCATGGTACAATATTGAGTTGTAAACAATGGGTGACTATTTTGAAGAAGAAATGGAGGAGGTGCAGGACACAGCTGGTATAGTCATTGATGACTATGATGGCTATGATGAGGAATATTTTGAAGAAGATGCTGGTACCTTTGGTCAAGAAAGTGAGTCAAGTCAAACTTCAGCCCAACAGATGCCTGGTCCTTCAGAAAGACTTGCTGCTCGTCTCAGTGTGGACTCGACTCACACCAGCGGTGTGTCCGCCAGCTGTGATGCTGGTGATGCCGGCAACTTCCAGGAAAATAACACAAAATGTGCAATGGAGACTGTGACAGAGACAGAGACTGATGAGGTTGAGGAGATAGAAGAGGAAGAAGTAGAGGAGGAAGAGGAAGAAGAAGAGGAAGATAAAGAAGAATATGAGAGATTCAACAGAACTGAGGTGGTGGATTCCAGAACTTCAGTCCTCAACAGGCTGGGGCCCCGGTGAGATGTGCTACATGTGCTTTGAATATTTTGCAGTATATCATGGCTATGACGATTTTCAACAAATCTCTAACTAGTCTAGAAAAATGTAGTGTATTATATAGACTATCTAAATTGTTTCTATAGATGTTGAATTTATATTGGAGGTCTTTCCTCCTATCTAGCGGCAAATGCATTTTGTTGGCTTATTTATTATTAACTATATTATCCTTTGATTGTCATGTGAGCATTGGCAACTGCTTGTTTTTCTCCCCATTTATTGATTTAAGAGTCCATGAATGGCCACAATATGCGAGTGGATAAAAATTTCAGCAATGTTGTGTTCTCTCAATAAAAGCTTGTTATTGGTCCAGGCTCTCTGATGCTCCGGCATCCACCACACCTGCTGCAGCTGCTGCAGCTCCTGCCAGTGCTGCTACTGGGAAGAACTTCCCATCAAGCCAGAGCGTGGGTGTGTTCAGGAGACTCATCCTCATCAACAATGTGCCGGTGTCAACCACGCCCCAACAGATGATTGATCATGTCAAGTCTATGCGTGAGTAACTGTGATGTTCTAGTTATCTATTAAAAATTTTATGTGGCTCATCTCTTATCTAGAGTGAGATGGTTCAACAGTTTGGATTTAGGCCTGCTCCAATGAATGAATTGTTTCACAGCTTGGTGCAGAATTCCTATTGTCTCTTTACTCTATAAAGTTTATCAATATTCACATATATATACCTATACAAGTTTTGTTTTGTACAGAAAAATTCTTTTTCAAATAATTGAAATGAGTATACTACCAAAACGTCATTCTGAAATATTGTGTTTTAGTTGGAATATGGAGTGTTAAAAATATTGTGTTGATCGGTGGGGTCTGAAAATTTGCTATAGTGAGAGTTGATAATATTTTGTTACTTTATGAGCAGTTTTTGTTATTACTTGATGAGCAGTAAACTAAAAGATTAGACATGGCGCACAGTGAAAAAAGATAGAGCTTGACATCCGTAATAAATGCCGTAAAATGGGGTAACTTAGACCACTTTTTTTCTTATAAATGATGCCATTTTCTTACTAGCTAAATTAAACTTGTTTCTATGTCAAATAGTTTTTGAGTTGTGGGGGTTTTTGTAAAAAAAACGAAAAGTGGTCTAAGTTACCCCGCCGGTCTAAGTTACCCCATTTTACGGTGGTTAATATAATGAGTGTTGCTAATATTGTGTTGTGTGGTGGGCAGTGAAAGGTCGCGTGACGCTAGAGCTTTTCGACGGCATCTACAACGGCATGTGCGTCGTGAGTCTGTCCATCATGAACGCCACAAGGGCCGTTGCTGCTAACCTAAGCCAGAACTTCTTCAACAGCCGCAAGCTTCTTGCCAAGCTGGTGAGATCTTTGGGAAAAGGCAAATTTTTGGATATCACAGCTTGGTGAGATCCAAGCATTCAGTTAATTTCTTTGGCAATACCTCGAGAAACTCAATGAGTATAAATGAAGAATCCTAAGAAATACAAAATGTACTGAGGTGTGAATATTTTACCAAACTGGAACATTTATTAAATTGTTTTCGACTTAGTATCGTATTTTATATTTCAAGCTCAGAGATGTAAGTGCAAAATGAAAAGCTAAATTTTAAATTGATGTAAGCAAATGTATTACAGATGGTGGCATCAGACATGGAGATGTACGTTAAGAACAAGCTGCACCACGCCCCTCCTGGGGGGGATGCAACTGACAACAACGCCCTGTGGGTCGTGGTGATGACGGGACTCAACCGCGACAGTAACGAGGACCTTCTTCGTGCAGCTGTTGGCAAAGAAGGTGATGAAATCTTGCTTGGGGTATTGGGGTTTTACATGGCATTTCTCTAGGGAATAAATTCACCAACGCACATCAGTGCAATTCTAAAGGCTTGATAAGGTGAACAACAGTTATGAGAAAATTAAGGTTGGAGTGCATTTAATTGAAATACAAAAGGTTGTATATTGCATGAAAAGAGACGATAGGTTTGAAGTGAGTTTGAAGGAGAGATATAAAAGGTTGTACGTAGTGCGTTTGAAGGAAAGACATGAATGGTTGTTGTGTGTGGAAGTATAGTCCCTTAAATATCATTTGGTGTGAAACAAGACCTGGACCATTTTTCTAGAGAGGTAAGGGTAGTATTGTTGAAATTAGAAGTACGGTATGATTGCTGAACCATTCTTCTTTCATGCTCTTGCATTTATAGATAATTCTTATTTCATTAATTCTCTGTGGACTGGAGTGCTATACGCCTGTTCTGTACGATTGTCAAGCATCCAAGCTCTATTGCTGAAAAGTCTACTGAAATACCGACTATTTTCCATAAAAAATTAGATGTGATTCATTGCTCATGAGATCTTGCAAATTTCTGAACCAATAATGTTGAGTTGTTCACAATTATAATTGCATTAATGGGAATGCTTTTGTATTTCAGTTGCGTCGCTGGTGAACTTGCAGCTCGTCAAGAAGAAGAAGAACAAAGGCAGCGGCATGGCGCTGCTGGTTGCCCCCAACAAGCTGGAAGCTGACAATCTTGTGAACCTCTTCCAGAACCGAAGCATCGACGGCAGTCTTGTCAAGATGTGCCCTCTCTATAGGGTATGTTGAGGCCATAAACTCTTCTTCCTGTGTAACTCTAACTGTCCAACTGAACTTCATTCAGCTGTATAGATGTAATATGTACTGATTATGTGTTTTTCAACTGTTCTCCCTTTCCTTGATATTAATTCCATGTGTTATTATTCACATGCACTTCACTCTAGATATGAGGAGATGCTTTACGAAAAGAGACTGCAAAATTGCTGGTGTCGCCTTAGTCAGATGCTCTGCAGTCCGGGAGGAGTTGTGACAAATAGGATGAAACTAATCATTATTTTTTAGTATGCATTAATATTATTAGTAGAATATCGCTGTAAAAATTTACTCATCTTCAATTAACAGGGGTACAAGTCCTCCGCACCGGCCTCTCCTGGGGCACCCCTTGTTTGCACACGAGCCCCAGCCGCTGAGAGGCCAGCGGCCCCACCTAAGCCGGGCCCCGAGGCCCGAGTATGGGCAGTGGAGCGGGCCATCAAGCTGAACAGCCTGCGCGAGCTGATGCAGCGCTCCAAGGGCAGCGCCTGCCGAGTGAACGTCACGAACGTCGCGTACTCCGTCACCGAGGACGACATGATCGAGGCCGTCAACTCCAGAGGTGAGTCCTGAGCACTCCAGCATACACTTCACTCCAACTTACACCTCACTCCAACTTACCCCTCACTCCAACTTATCCCTCACTCCAACTTACCCCTCACTCCAACTTACCCCTCACTCCAACTTATCCCTCACTCCAACTTACCCCTCACTCCAACTTACCCCTCACTCCAACTTACACCTCACTCCAACTTACACCTCNTGCAAGTAGATGATGCAAATACGGAAAAACGATCGGCATTTCTGAAGCTAGCCGATTTTTAAATTTGCATCGACCAAGAGCCGTATTCGTATAGCCATATAACTAGCAAACGAGGGCAAAATAGACAAAATTGCCACGAGCTAAATATCACCGTTGGGAGTTTAGGTAGGTACATGAATACGAAGTTTCGTTCAAATCTGTTCACTTTTTCAGAAGAAATTTCTTGACCGCCGCAAATTTAAACAGGTATTGCTATTTAAATCACGAATGAAGGTGAAATGAAAAAAAAAACGCAAGCAAAGGCAAAATCGAATTTTTTTCCATAAATTAAACGTCATCGTTTGGTAGTTAGAAACTTAGAATGTTGTATATTCAACATTTCGTTTAAATTTTTTCAGTAGTTTGGAAGAAATTAATTTATCGTCAACATAATTGGAATATAGTTTTTGCTATCCAAATGAAGTAAAATGAAATATGTAAATCGTGATATGAGGGATTTTACACTTTAGTCTTGAAATCAAACTTGTGGAAGAATAACAAAGTGAATATTTTATAGATGTTTTGGCAGTTCATTTGTTTTGAAGATTCACGGCATCGATTGGATAACAGGATACAAAATGGCGTCAACCATGGTTGACTTTTCAAGCGACTTTCGAATTAATAATTGTCGCCAAAAAACAATTAAGTCAATTATCATATATAAATGTGATAGACAAGCTTCAATCTGTTATTTATACGTGAAAATTGTCATCTATGGGTAGTTAATGGTTTATCTTTCCTTCTATTAATTGCTTTTAGCGGTGGCGTGGTTGTTGAAGAGACTTGTGCGTTTGAAATTAGCACTTACTCAGCAAGTTAGCACTTAGCAGTGCAGCCAGTTAAAATACGATTATCAGAAATTCGTTAGTTTCTTGTTTGTCAGCTCTTAAAATACTCTGTTTTTCTGCTGTTTTGGCTTTATATACAATATTGATTATTGAATGCTAATATGTGAAAAAAGTTAATATCGCAAATTATGGTTTTAACATAGTGGCAAAGCAGAGAGTTTTTTTAGACTCTCCCTCAAGTTCATTTTTGAGTCCTATAAGTAGACCAGTAAAGTATCCTGGATACCAGCATTATATTACTAAAGAAATTGGTTTAAATATTGAGTAAATGAGGAAATTAAAAATGAACTGATTCTAAAAAAGCTCTGGTTTGCCACTATGATGGTTTAGGCTACGGCCGCTACGCCGCTACGGTATTGCACTATTGGTATATCAGCAATCAGCATCACTGCATCAAATGTCTATATTGTCTATAATTATTATCACTCCCAGCCCCTGGTCCCTCCCAGACATAGTGGCAAACCAGTGATTTTTTAGAATCAGTTCATTTTTAATTTCCTACTCACTCCACGCAGTCAGCTCTGCATCACCTGCATGTCAGCCTAATATTACAGCTTGTTTAGCTTCTCTCCCGCAATTGATCCTGCGTTGGCTCCAGCGCTCGACCAGATCCTGCCGACCAGCCTCAACTTCGACCGTCCTCCGCTCGTCTAGGCCTCGTCTCTGGATCAGGCTTGCTTATTCGAGCCTTAAATTGAATAATTAAATAATTTAATTAATTAAATATTAAATAATGCAATGTGTGGCACTAGAAACTTGCCAGAGATCAGACTTTGGCTCGCCATTATTTCTGGGAACAATGACGCGACGAGCCTTAAATTGAATAATTAAATAATTTACCTATTAAATTAAATATGAAATAATGCAATGTGTGGCGCTGGAAACTTGCCAGAGAAGAGACCGTGATCCGCCATTAGGACTGAGAACAATGACACGCAGCACAGCCCGCCGTATGTGTGGATTATGGAGAACTGCGGCATTGGAGCTTCTCAATCAATTTACATTGAGTGTTAGGCTGTGTAAATGAAGGAAGTCGTAGATTACTGCGCTGTGTTTAGTGCAAGAAACTGTTCCAGCCTTTGTTGACCGAACTCCAGCACCGGTGCAGCCCGCTCTGAAAATAATAGTATGTCGTTTACTTTACGTATTTTAGGAGAATAGCCGTATACAAATTTGGCTCAATGCTCGGGTGGTAAAAAAATCTAATATCTGAAGTACTACTCTGGACGCAGAACTTCAGTTCTTCTTAAGGTAAGTTATGGTGTGTCGGCAGAAATGGGATTGCATCTGAAGATAGCGACGGTGGTTCATCGCTCATCTTTCACCAAGACGATTTAATTTAATTTTCACACTGTTACGACAAATGAAAATTGTGCTTATCCATTATCTTCTAGCAACTATGCAGCCAAGAGCAAAGCAAGCAGGAAGACTCTGATAATTACTCCAATGCGTCGACTTGTCCAAGACAGTTTCGAGCATTCAAACTATATTATTGCGCCGAGTGAATTTTTAAACCACTTTTGTTGATGTATTCGTGATCGCGCGCTACTGTACCTCACGTCATCGGTTTGTATTCAGCTGAATTTCCTGAAAATTTTGATACATACGGTATAGTGTTTCGTCCACGTCAACTTGATCAAGTGAGCAGACCTTCAGATTTTTTATCCAGATTATCCAGAAAAGATCGAATGATTGTAAAAAATATGATGATTAATGTACATTGTAGCTGTGAACATTTAGGACGTAGTAATTTGTGCCTAGACAAACATGCGTCGCTTAGCATGGCTGTATATGGCAGCGCCCTCAGCGGGCCGAAGTTGTGACGGTCAAGGTGCCAAGCTGCCCGTGGTATTGGTTATTATGAGTGGGTAATACAGAGAGAAAGAGTGCTGTATTAGCGCGGTTAGCTGTTCTTGTCCCTGAACCCATGCGACTCTTGATGACTGGCCGACTGTTTCGTGGAAATATGTTCACTCGTACCTCATGTTCATGATGCGAGTACTTAATAGCATGAAAATTATTCAAAGGTTGAAAATAGCATGACCTTGTGTTCATTCCGGATTCGTCACGAAATATCTAGGTTGAAAGCACGTCATGCACAAGCAAGTGAAGAGGTATTGAGTCGAGACAATGTCAGAGCCAAAACAATCGCATTAGAGAATATCACTCCGTAATCGAATGCCTTCGTCACGGAAACGAAGTCAGGATTATTAATATCAAATCGATCGTGTTATGAACGATGTTTCTACACCACTGCAACTGTAGGTATTAAAAGTGACCTGAAATTCTGTAGTTAGTTCTACAATGCTGTATTTTCTTACCGCCTTGCGATTATATTGATCGGGTTAATGCTAACCACATGATGCTATTCATTCGAATTAGTTCTAGTCATCTCAATGTTATTAGATTATGTACATATCATCAATACCTATATTAGAAAATAATAATCATCAATATTTGTAATAAACTCATGCGCCCAGCCTATGGTGGATGATACGTACTATAGCGCCAACACGACAGATAGGAGGAGTTGGCGATGGCTCCGATTATTCTAATTAATTATAATGCAAATAGAAATTATTTCTTCGTTTTAGGGAAATATTTTACATTTATTTTGTAATACTTGCAATATTTTGTAACTGAATCTTCAGCTTTCTCCCGTTGGCAGGTTTGTTCATTATTTATAGTGGATTTAAACTTCCCAAAAATATTTATTTTCCACTTTTTAATCCGCAGTCTATAAGTCTTCTACAGTCGTTGGCAGTCGCCTCAATTAAATATTTTTTCTGCATTCTATAGATTATTGAGGCAGAGCCCTAATGAAGTGTAGAAAGTTCATTCAATGTCGCTATTTAGACGTTGTAATCGAGGTTATAATTTCAAAAAAGTTGATGAGACCACAATTTTTTTTGGTCTGCATGTGAGGTACAGTGGCATGTCAGGAAGTCGATCGATCTTACTCCTGCACTTATTATATTGGCACATTGACTACACGTTTACGATGAAGCCACTGTAGGTAGCAACTAGGAAATAAGGTAGAATTCAAATCTCGGACGCTAGTAAATGAAAATATGTAAAATTTTAAAGTGTGGAATGTCTGTAACGCACAGAAGCGTGTTCGGCAAATTTATCATTGCGTCATTACTGTCAAAATATTTGGTAGTGTGTTAAACAACAATATAAGTATATAGGAAGAGTTACGTAATTATCTTGACTTGATTATTATTATACGCAAAACTTCCATATTGCCAAACTACCGATATTATTCGAAAAATCTTTCCTTCAGCCAGGTTTAAAACTTTGCGAAAAAGAGCGTTTTCTTCGGTTTCTGGACCACAGTTCTTTTCAAATGATTCCGTATTAAATTTCGACCTCTCGTGTTTGGGACGATTGACATAGGATTGGGGATTACTTGAGGTTAGTGCAAGCTAGTGAATGGTGATTGACTGAGGCCGCTACGATCGTTACCTATATCTATATGATTGATGATTTCTCAATGTATTCATAATTGTTCAATTTTTATTTCAATATGAGGTGACTTGATCGTTCCTGCTGTTTCTACTTTCGTTTGCCCGTCACCTGCGCTAACTCTGGTATTCCGATCGAGAGGCTTAATGCGATAATTTTATAAAAAAAATGCTAGGTCAGATTCGCCGCTATGAACGTGTGTGATGAAGCTAGGCAGTTTTGATAGATGGTTGGAGAGCATTCGTATATCGTGCCAGTCACCTTATCGTTATTAAACTAACACCATCTGTGGCCATGTTTTGTGCAACCGTATTTGATTTTCAATGAATTAGTGTGCCAAGAATTTGCCAGGCAGTTAGTATCCTTCCTGAACATTTTTGAGTTGCAGACCGCTTTTGAAATCTAAATTCTAGCTTAGGTGAGTATGGTGCCATGTTGTTTCCT